TTAAATCCATAAATGAGATCACATTCATATGTATTGTTAATTGTTATCTTAACGTAAATTCTACTCAGTATTTCCGAATTTGCAACAAATTGTGCAAATACTTATCTATTCTACCGCAATAAAGTACTCAATATTGATTCATATGCTCCACCTTCCCTGTATCACATACTACGTAACTTAAACATCAAATTATCTAATAAATCACAACCACCGAATCATTAATTCACTCCCTTAATAAATACCAAGTACTACGTATGATTAAAACATTATTACAAGTTTTTTCAAATACAATAGCATTGCTTTTCTTCCCAAAATGATGTTCATGGAATATTATAGGGGAGTTTATACACTCTTTTATTCTTTAAATAGGATTAAATAAGTTTGCACGTGATTTACTCATATCTTGAGCCAAAATCAGGGGCAGCCCTAGGGGTGCAACAGGGGCGACTGCCCTAGGCCCAAGAAAATAGGGTGGAAAATAGACCCAAAAATATTTCTTTGTATGTAGTGCGAGTAGCTTTTTTTTTTTTTAATTTTTAACCTCAATTAATTGGTTAAAGGTTTAATTTTTAAAATAAATGCTAAGTGGCATACCTGACCTCTCTTAATTCTCTTCGAATCTCTAAGTTTTATAATCCTTTTAATTACAAAATTGTGAAGTTATGTTAGGCCTCCCAAGTCCAAAACTCCCAATTTGCAAAGCCCATCCGAATTGATTTGTTGTTTCCAAATTCCAATATCAACAAGAGTAAAGAACGTTGCAAAGCAGTGAGCACCTCAACGGTTTGTTAAGAATTAAAGTCAATCAATCGAGGAGCCCAAACGGCGGTCGGTGACCAAAATACTTCTTCTTTCAAGGTTTCAAACAATCCATCCGTGATCAATAAATTGTTCTTGATAAAATTGGTGAGTCAAGTTGGGATAAAGAGAGAGAAGAAGATTAAAAAAGACAAGGTTAAGTTAGAAGGGATCAATGGAAAGTTTTGTTTTTGTTAATAAATATAATCTTGAAAATTTCGTGAGAACTGTTTTTAAGTAATGTTTTTGTTTTTATATGATACTTGTATTGTTAATTTTCACCAAATATGTAATTTAAATAATAATAATAAAATGAGTTTCATTTTTAATTAATGACCTTTATTAGATAATTTTATTATAATTATTATTTTAAATAAATATAGTTAATTATTTGTCTTGAACATAAGTCTAAAATATTGTCTCGCCCATAGGCCCGAAAATAGACAGGACCGGCCGTGACCAAAATCTTTTTTTTTTGTATCAGGCATAATACTTCTCTTTAATAATATTAGAAATATACACGTATTTTAATGTCTGAAATTTGCACAAATGGTTCCTATCATGCCACAATGTTTTCTCATGTTTGTTAGGACAAAACTATTTTCGGACATTTTCAGAACCTTATCTATTTATATTCAAAAAAGAAAATTATTATACGGAGTATTCAATATTAGGACTATAAATATTTTCATTTTTAGTCTCAGATCAGACTTAAATAGACTAGACCGGAGAAGTCTTAAAAAGATCAGACTTCCATAGTTATAAAATACATAGAGATGATATATTTATCAAACCAGAACAGACTTAAACAAATCAGATCAAAGCAACAAATTTCAAATCCAAGTAAACAGATTAGACGAGAGAAGAGTAAAACATATGAGACTTTGATAGTTATAAAGTACAAGCTATACATTTACCAAACGAGATATGTAGTTTAGTTTTTAAATAATGGGCCGAGCCACCGATGGCACTACGTTAAATATGTTTAGTTTGTTTTTCATTTTGGCTAAAGGATCAAATAGGCCCTTGAACTGACTTAAAGTGTTCAATTAGTCCCTTATATAGGAGGTTCTGCCCGGCCGTCGTCAATTGGGGCGGTTCCCGGTGAAATTTTTTGATGAAATTTTTTGAGCATCTTCTTCATTAAGTCTAGTTTATTCATACCAAATTTCAGCTAAAAATTCAACCGGGAAGGCAGTCAAATGATTTTTTGAAGGTAACTGCGAAGTTAAACAGCGCAGTACATCTCGGAAAATCATTTGACTGCCTTCCCGGTTGAATCTTTAACTGAAATTTGGTATGAGTAAATTAGACTTAATGAACTTCCTATATAAGAGACTAATTGAACACTTTAAGTCAGTTCATAACCCTTTTTTACCTATAACATGGCAGCGTTTCTTGAACCGTTCTGGTCCACGACTACACGCCTGACCCAGCATTTAAATCCCACAAAAAAACATCTTTTTTTGATTTCTGTACATCTCGTCTTTATAAACAAACTTTCCCAGATTTTTTTAAAAGTTTGACCAACAAAGGAAGAGATGAAAGGATGGTTGAAGATCACTTTGGTGGCGGTTTCGTGTGGAACCATTCTGTCCCTTTTGCTGATTATGATCATTCAAAAAACATGTAACCGTAAAAGACGCAGAGATCGTTTCGAAGAAGGAAGCCCAGAAATTGCAGAAAACGCGCACTCCGCCGCCGCCGCCGGAATAACTCAACTTCAACATGTGAGTCTCCACCATCTTGACCGAAACGGAACCGGTAAAATCAATTACTTCGTTTTCCGCCGTGGGCCGTCGGCGAAGCCCAATTTCAGTTGGGCCGATCACCCTTCCCTGGTCGCAGACGCCGTCGACAACGGATGGGCGAACTTCGGGTTCACCGCGCACACACCGCCGCCTCCGCCGGCCCGATCGGCCAGGTCTCTGCTCGGCGCCTGCGGCGCCGCTGATATTCATCCGGCGGTGAAGATAAGCTGGGAAGTCTCCCCTGGTTCATCGGATTTGGTACAGAAAATCAAATTCAGATGCAATTCGGACCACATGAAGAGAATCAGCAGCATCAGAAACAAGTCGCCGGTAATGACCGCCGCCTCTGTTCTGAAGACTTCGCTCCCTCTGCCGGGCCCACAATTGGGGACTTCATCTTTCCCGCAGGAAGCCTATTTCGAGATCACGATTTTGCCATGTGATGAGGATGAAGATGAAGGGCGCAGATCTCAGGATGACAAAATTAACCTCATTCGAGAAGACTATAATGCCAAATCTGCGGTCCACGCCATGAGCAATAGGGAGGATAATGGAAAGGGGAATAGGAAACACAATAACAGTAACCATGTCGCTATCTCCATAGGACTGAGTGGAAGTGGTTGTCTTCCATTCCGGCTTCCGGGGAGCTATCCTGGTTCCATTGGATTCCATTCTAATGGTTCTGTCTGTCTTGATGGTATTTTACTTGACATTTCTTTTGTTTCTGAAGGAATTTTTTGGTTTCTTTTGTTTCTGAAGGATAAATCATCACATTGAAATAAAAAATACATCACACTCAATTTTAAAAAAAGAGGTTTTTCTTGAATTATTATAGAAATAAAACTTATTCACAAAAATATGATTAAAAGTTAATACAATATAGTCTCATTCATAAAATGTGAAATTGAACATAAATTACAATGACAAAGTTGTTTTTATAGTCACTACAATAAAAAAATCACATTATTATAACCAACATTTTTTTGTTTTATTCATATATATATATGTAATTATTTCATAAAATAAAGTGAGTAAATAAGTAAACCTGAATTTTTTTTGTGATTGAGTTTAGTACTGAAGTAGACAATTTTAGTTTTTCAAGACAATTTTTTCTTAATTTTATCAGTATATATCGAGTATGTTTTAAATTAAAATTCCAAAATCTATAATTTGAATTATAACTTTATCTATTACTCCGTATAACAAATTAAGCTGATTTCATGAGACTCTTGGTTTTAAGAGTTCTTTATAAACGCAATTCTCTTGAGTCTTGGCCTTGACACTGTCAGTTTCTTGCTTTTAACTTTTTAAGCTTTTAATTGAGAAGACTAAAAAGAAATTCAACAGTGATACTAAAAGTGTCATCATACTTCGTACAATAGTCAAAGAAGTTTTAAAAAACTTAACAACCAAATTTAAGTTTATATTACGGAGTATTTCTTTTCTACATAAATTTTATCCATACTGTTTTTACATTCTTAGAATATACTCCGTATGACAGTAAAAAATAAGGCAAAATGATGCGTGATGGAGAGTAATATTTTTCTGAGATTGATAAAAACGTAAATGCAAAAAAAAGTATGCCTAATATAGCTTCTATTTTAAGAAAAATAAAATTTTAAGTTCTACTTAAAATACTCGTATTAAACATTTAATTGGGTAGAAGAAAGTATAGTATAAAGATACAACCCAACTTGTAAAGCATATTCAGCTTATAAATTCTGTGTGCGGATTTGGTTAGGGATGGTGCTGGTGTATGAAGGGGAACCATGGGGAAGAACAGAAGAAAAGGTTATTGGATGCGGGTACAACCCAAGCCAAAAGAAGGTGATTTTCACAGTGGATTCACTTCTTATGCATGAAATTAAATGCAAATCAGAGGAATTTGGAAGCCCTCTATATCCAACTATAGCAGCAAATGCTGACATCACAGTCGTGGTTAATCATGGCCAAAGTGTTTTCAAGTATGGACCAGCAAATATGGGCAGAACATCAAACCCTAGCTTCAGTGGTCCCCTGTCAAACAATTCTACTTCAGCTATAGGATATGATGAAGACAGCAAAGAGCTTTTCTCCATTGGGAGGATTGAATCTCTTCAATGGCTGAATAGAAACACAACTGCAGCAAGAACGTACAGTAATGGTGTGAAGCAGCAGCCAGAATCAGACTTGGAATCTGATGGGGAGTTATTTGAAATTATGTTGGATGGTTATGGGAAAAAACCCCAACACTCTACAGCAACACTATGAGGAAAATCATCATTATTAGGTTATAGATTTTTTAATTTATTTTTTACTTGTTTGTGAATGTTACTTATGGTACAAGGCTGAAAAGTTTTGTCTGAATTTCAGGCCTTCTTGTAACTAGAGATTTGTGAATGAGAAAATTGGTAAAAATTGTGTGTGAAAACGCAGTTTAAACTTCAAAGTAAAACTCTTAAAATACAAGTCCTTTTTTATTTCATACAGCACAAATTTAGTTCTGGTACACTCACAAAACCTTCAATCCCAACTTGCAAAATGTACAAAGCACAAATTGTATGAGATGACTACACTCAAAGAGATCAAAACACTATATGTGTTCAATCTACTGGTTGCATTATATTCTTAACAATATAACTCTTTAACTCTTTGATGGCAATACAGCATTTGATATTCTGACACGACGTGAAGATGCTACTAACAAGACATAGACGAAGTCACAACTTACAACACCAGAAGGAGTAGTGCTCATCTTTCCTGAGGGTGCTAACCAGTCCCCCACACTGATAACAGACGAAGCTACTTCCATCAGAGAAGGCATCCTCCATAACCTGTTTCCTTCCAGTCTCTGAGAGTATTGAAGTTCCACTCTTGTCTATTTCTACACGTTGATAGGGCTCAGTTTGTGAAGGCGTAATAGCAAATTCGGAAAACAAAGAAGCCAACTCATCTGCAGCTGCACTTGCATGCACTTTATTACTGTATAGCTCCCTAGCACGGCTAAGCAATTGATGAACAGCCTCTTCCCCATCTCTTGATCTTATTGCCACCACCACCTGTCAAGTGTTAATCAGGAGGATCAATCATGGAAAATCCTAATATATGTAAAAAGTAACAGCAGAAAACCACTCAACGATCCTTAATTTGGCAATAGGCATCCGCCCAGCTGGATGACCATTAAACCATCCTACCCTGCATGCCATACCAAACAATCGTGGAACTACTTTAACATAAAATCTAATAGCAAAAAAAAGGAAATTTGTAGAGGAACAGAAACCACTTTGAGTTCATTTTGGAACCCAGAATATGCTAGGGGAAGTAAATGATAAAGAAAAGAGATAAGAAACTCTGAGAAAGTAAAATTGGGGTGAATAAAAAAATTCAAACTCAACAAATCAACTCAAAATGTGAATGTTGAGTTGATATTTATATTTCTTTTACAGAGCATAAGGACTACAGAATCTAAAGATATGTGAATATTCGAAAAGCTATAACTAAAGTTTATTTTACTGCATATTCCCAAAGTAAAACCAAACATTAAAAACAACTGTTTTCCTTAGCTAATTTTTCTTATGTGACAATTTGCCTATATCACTTTGTGTTCATTTCGGAACCCAGAAAATGCTAGAGGAAGTAAATGAGAAAAAAATTATGAAAAATTCTAAGACAGGAAAATTTGGGGGAAATTAAAAAATCAAGCCCAATAAATCAATTGTAGATATTTGTTCAGCCTCATTTAATTCTTATATTTCTATCACACAAAGTATAAAGACAACAGAATCAAAAGATGTGTGATTATATAAAGTCATAATCAAAGTTGTTTTTACTTCATAATTCGAAGGTGAAACCAAACATTAAAAGCATCTATTTTCCTTGGCTAGTTTTTCTTTCGCTACAAATTTCCTAGACCCAAGCATTGCCTAGATGTTAAATTTCACAAAAGGGATCTGGTTAAGCTAATTTGGGAAGTGTGTAAGATCAAATAATGTACTAGATTGGGGTGCCAGTTTCCCCTTTCAGCATTGGGCATTTCCTTTTCAACCTAAACAGTATTAAGCAGGCTTAATGGCGGACTGATTTACAGGAAAAAGATATTTGTGAGCAAGGAAAATATAATCTCGTTGTAAACAGGGCTGTTAGCTTATAACATCGTTTTCTGAAAATCTGAGTCGAAGTTAGACAATTATGGTTGTATTATAATGGCCCAAAAGAGTAAAGCATATCAATTTCAAACTCATAACGTTGTCTTCATTAGCTAAGTGCTCCAATTAACATAGGCGAAAGTAGCAAATTCGCAAGAGCAATATAAAAATTGGACACAATAGCTAAATCAATAGAATCTGCCAGAAAAGTACTGAAAATCTAAAACAACGATATAGAAACAGAACCCAAAAACGAAATATCACCGCTTGGAGAGCCTGTGATGGCATGTTTTGATCGATGAGTCGGCGAGCCATTGCGAGCAAATTCCTGACGAATTCATCCTGGTCTGAACTGGAATATGATGATCCAAGAGGAGGGTGAGGATGCGAGGAAGACGGCGGGGTGGAGGATTCCGCCTCAATCATATCAGCGTCAATACCATCCATAGCATTTCAGTTTGTAGCGTTGAATCAGCACAATAATTTCAATTCTGCTCCCCAATCAGGAACCTCGCAAATGAAAAGGAGAATTTAAAGATTTTTTCCAGATGTTTCTAGCATTTTCTGCATTCGCCCGCGACCTGCTTCTGTACTCGTCGGAGTAAGATCGTCGCCGTGCGGTAGGGAGACTTGGGCCGTTTAATTAAGGATGCATAATGGGCACACAAGAAAATTACAGATGCTTTAAAATCTGTATAGGCCCAACTACTTTCTAAGTACATTTCAGGAAACAGTGAATTTTCCGATTTCTATGTTAATAGGGATATTTCAGGTGATAATATATAGTAAAATAAAAGGGCAATGTTCTTAAATATGAACTCCCTATAAAATATGTAATTTTTTTCTCAAATAAGCTTATAAATACTAGTAAGGATGTTTTCTTTTGGACTGAAATTTGCTGGTCTGGTCTGGTCTGTTTAAGTCTGGTCTGGTCTGTTTAAGTCTGGTCTGGTCTGGTCTGGTATGAACTGGTCTGGTCTGGTCTGGTAAACGTCTGGTCTCTGTGTATTTTATAACTACGGAAGTCTGGTCTGGTCTGGTCTGGTCTGTTTAAGTCTGGTCAGGTCTGGTCTGGTCTGTTTAAGTCTGGTCTGGTCTGGTCTGATCTGTTTAAGTCTGGTCTGGTCTGGTCTGGGACTGAAAACAGTCCAAAAGAAAACATCCTAAGACGTAAGTACATTGGATTGCTCAAAATAATCTTTACTTTATACATTAAATAAATAAATTTGATGACTGGAGATCACAATCACCTGCCAACCTTTACTGCTTAATCCAAGATCTTCAATCCTAAACTCTAAATCATAAACCATAACTCTAACTATAAAGGCTAAATCCTAAATTCCAAAATGTAAAACTTTAAAATCCAATGGCATTTTAAGTTAGAATTATTACACTTTTTAAGCACTACAGAAGTCGTAATTAAGGAATAAAAAAACATCCGAAAGTTGTGTTTTAATGTTAGATAGGCCCCAATTGGTGTCAAAATTAGGCGTTGAACAAACAATATATTGGGCATCGTTAATTGGGATCGTTGCGTGAAGTAGCATGTGCTTCGATGATTGTGCAACCACTTCGTGACGAATCCATTTTTGTTGCACATATATTTGGGCAACCAATATTAGGCTTCGGGCAACACTTTCTTTTAATGCCCTAACTACTTTTTCTTGTAGAGGCCGTAAAGAGTGATTAACTCGCACTACAAGTCAATGCTATTTTGTGTGAAGCTCAACTCGTATATATATTATCGATATGCAGGATATGGTACTATCATTTAGGTTTGACCCTTACATTGTGTGATACAATGTAAAAGACAATCCTAAATGATCGTACCATTATTTGTGTGCTACTAATCTACTATCTCTTCAAATTATAGGAATAGTTGTCATTCTATTCTTCTTCTATACTAGCGAGTGACTCTTTTCTTTGTACAATTTTGTCATTAGAAATCTAGCTAATTTCAAATTTAGTGAAACTAATCGTTAAAAAAAAAGTAATTTTTCATGTTTTAATATGTACAGAGTACTTCTTAACTAAGATTATTGATATGTCATGTTTTTACATTTTATACTCTGTATAAGATAGTTTAACCCTTCAAATTTTTATTGTTCAATTACTGGACAATCCACATCCACACAATGAGCTGACTTGTCCAGCTCTTGGCTTCTATGATTAGTGGAGGATCGGAAGGTCGAACGAACGCCCGCAGTGCTTATGTGATGGTCGGTATTATTTAGACATTACATTATACGTAGTAGTTTACCACTCCATTATCATATTGTGTTTTTCTAATAACCATTTTAGTTATATTATATACTACTACTATTTATCAATCACCTAAGGATGCATAGGCACAACATACTTAGGTGATTGATAATTTTTCTTATATTTTCAGGCTCAATGACGTATAGTACAACTACTAAACCATTTTATTCCATTTTTCATGTATTTATGACCCTTTAATAAGTCACAAATACTTGTTAGTTGTTACGTATCAAAATACTTAGCTTTGTTGTAATACTTCACATTTACTACTTCATACTCTTAAGTTGATTAGAGATGGGAAATTCTCAGGAAGGTGGGTGTAGTCTAATGGATCTCAAATCTCTCCTTTGTGAGAGATTCGATCTTGAGTTCAATTTCTACCTAGGGGAGATGAAGAAAGTCTTGCTCCCAAGGGTGGATCTCATGTTGTTCAAAAGTGTTGGGATGAACATCCCAAAAAATGAAAACAATGCATAATCAACATGCACTTAAGCAAAATGTTAGATCCATCACTACTTGTTCGCCATGATTCTTCCTACCTTCACGTAATAGGTCTAATAGTGTTATCCATATAAGATTCCAACAACTTACTCACATCTTAGGTTGCTTTTCTTCATACTTCCTCTGTTCCCTTTTAATTGCAACAGTCAACATTTCACGTTTGCCAACGCACAAGTTTGACCATTAATATCTTTCATTCCTTATTAGTAAAAAATTCAAAAAAATCATATTTTGAAAATTTAGAATGAGAAGAATTTAATAATATTTTAAAAAAAAATTATTTATAATACATTAATGAATAAAATATAGTCAAAGTAGAATATGTGAATAGTGCAAAAAGTCCAATGTTGCGATTAAAAGAGAACGGAGGATAGTATTTGGTTGCCCATTGACGGATAGACGAATTAGTTGATTATTGCGCCATTTTTACTAATTTTGACTGTGGGTTTGCTAGCTAAATTCAGTATTTTTGGGTAACAACTTGTTCAAACCACTTGTCCCCTCGTGAATGGAAGTACCGTCGCCGGTCAGTTCGTTTTTGTTTGTAGTTTCTTCCTGTTTTGTTTTCTCGACTAAGCTACCATCATCCTACTGTGTATTGGACATCCACTAATGTAATGACATTCATGTCAAGTAACATAAGAATGTGTGAGAAAAAACTGTCAATTTGGTCCTCGTACTATAACGAAAAAAACAAATAAGTCCTCATACTTTAAAACAAAAATCAATCAAATTTTCGAATTTTGTGAAAACGTTCAATGAGTCCATTAGCAAGTTATCTGTCACGTCAACAAGTCACATGCAGATGTGGCACACATGTGACAGCCCAGTCAGTGACTTTGTTGTCGTGGTGCACATGTGGAAGCCTAGTCAATTATTTGCCGATGACGTGACGCACACATGAACTGCAATGCACGTGTGCGTAACGTCAGCGAGTGACCTGCTGACGTGGTAGGTAACCTGTTAGATGACTAAATTGAACTTTTCTTTAAATTCAAGGATTTGATTGATTGTTTTTAACTTATGAGGACCTAATTGACTTATGTGATTATTGATTAATATCGAAATATATTATGTATGTGATTAACTTACATAGTTTAGCGGGAAAAAGAGAATGAGATAAAGATGCACGTGTATGTAGCATTATTATATTATTTCCATTTCAATTTATTGTAATATTGTCATACTCTGTCACAATATACTACGTATATTATAGCCTTATTATTGATCTTTTTCTCTTATATTTCAGTAATTCAGTTTGCTTTAAAAAGTTAATACGTATTAGAAATGGAATTGTGTGTTTCAAATGTATTTAGAAAGGACTCAATATTAATTAATTACATAAAACGGAGTACCTACTTTTGATAAAATTAGAAGATAATTTACCCGCACAAAAGAATAGTAAGAACAATATGTGAACAAAAGAGTATGAAAGTATGAATTTATACGTTTCAAAATTAACACATTTTGTCAGGTTATTGATTTAATCTCCGGAGAACTCTTTACCCCTTTTTATCTTCATACTTTTTCACATTCATTTCTAAATTTTGGTGAACTGACATTTAGAACCTGTTTAGAAACATTGAAATTTGTTGAATACTAATTTTACTGAATTCGTTGAATGAAAAGTGTATTTAAGATACATCTTGGTGATACAGTAAAGAAAATGTATATGAAAAAACCAACTAAATTGTACTCTTCAATAATATATGAAGCAGTTCAATAAGAAAAATATTTTCAATTTAATTTATTTTGATTATTACCCAATCCAACACACTCAAAAACCACGTATTTAGTTAAAAAGTTGAGTTTTTTACATAAATATTACCAATAGTATTTGGGGTTTCAATAAAGTGACCAATGGTAAGAAACACATTTTGCAACGTGAGAGTAGGGATGGACTCGGGCCGGGCCAACCGGCCCGGAACCGGACCGGCCCGCTACTGTGCGGGACCGGACCGGCCCAGTGAACCGGTTCGTGCCCGGTTCGGGCCTCCCGGCCCGGTGGTATAGCGGTCCGGGCCCGGGCCTCCAGTTTAGTGAACCGGCCCGGCCGGGTCCGGTTCGGGCCGGAATTTATTTATTTTTTTTTTGAAATTCTTTTAAGTTTTGGGTTGGATTAGGTATTTTGGGCCATTTGAGGTGGTTTGGGGTGGAGGGGTAGGGGTAGGGGGTTAAATAAGAGAAGAAGAAAAAAAAATTAAAATTCCGGGTGGCCCGGCCTGGCCCGGTTCTGGCCCGGAACCGCCCACCACCGGTTCGGGCTCGGGCCTCATTTTTCTGAACCGAGGCCCGGCCGGGCCCGAACCGGAACCGGTCCACCCCTACGTGAGAGTAAGGTGGGGAAAGAAGTTATAGTTTTGTTAGTGGAGTTTAAAGTGATTATATTTGTGTAATTTTTTCTAAAAAGTTGGATAATAAAGCTAATAAGCTAAAATTATGACTTATCAAATAGGCTCTTAAATATATCCTTGTAAGGCTGATGTTTCTGGAAAAATTTCAAGTAAATTTCTATGCCCAATCAAAAGGATAGTTTTTTTTCTTTTTTTTTAACTCATTGGTGGTCTAGTAAATGTGGGAAACATTTATCAGATTGTATTCAAATGAAGAAGTTTAAATCCTAGTGAGTAGTGACCGTTATTTGTCCTGCGTTGACCAGTGTGTATGCTTGGATGTTTTTTGTAGCCCAAAGATGAGTGGAATATGTACTGCAGAGTGGTTTAGAAAAGAGAAATTATAAACTTCGGGAAGGGAAATCAATTGATCAAAGGCTTGCCGGTATCAAAAAGTGGGGGCCTCACTCCAGTCAAAATATGAATATATACAGTTTACAATCTACTTGTGCCAAAAATAATGGTAGACGCTTAAAGAATAGCCCATCCTCATACATAATAGGCTGCTGCATCTTTGATCTCCTGGATCATCTTCAACACTTGCCACAAGGTGGGCCTCTGCTCAGGTGATGCCACCCTGCACACCATCGCCACCTCAGCAATCATCTCCAACTTATTCCTCCCATTCTCTTCTTCCTCCCCATCATCCCTACATGACCTCACCCAATCCATCAACACATCACCCTCCAACGAAACCGGGTGTTCAGACGGGAGCTTCCCAGTCAGCAGCTCTAGTAGCACGACCCCGTATGAGTACACGTCGGACTTGGAAGTAGGTTGGTGGTGCCGGTTTGGTTTTCTCGTCTCTGGGGCCTTGTGGGCCAATGAAGACGAATTCGGGTGGTCTTCGTCCGAAAACGGGTTGTACAGAACGGAGAGG